ATTGTTTGTAAAATTAAAATTACGTGTTCATGAATAGTGAAAGATTTTTCTTTAAAATTCACTACAAAAAAACCTTTATTGTGGTCCACTCAACCCTCCTGAGATTGAAAACTGAACAAGTAAATTTTACCTGTAATCCATATTTGCTGGTAAGTACCTCCATTGAAGTAGCTCGGGGCAGCTTCATTGTTCATCATTGACAAAAACTTCAGGTTTGGACAAGACTTGCACAACGTTGAGATAAACAAACCTGTTACACAAAACAAACAATATAAACAAAGCAAAAAAAGACCAGATATGTTTGTGACACTTGTGCCCTAGTACATATGACAGCTTTTTTCAAATGTTAAAACTCAAATGCAAGTCAAACTATATAATGTCATGGTCAAAAGATGAAACAACAAAAAAGGACTGTTTCAATGAATTATACTTGTGATTCATGAAAGCCTAAGCACCAACCATTCCAAATTTATGGCCAAGGTTAAAGCTTTCTAAAAGTGGGTCAAACTGCTAGATGTAGGTCAAGGACAAAAGTTCTAGGTCAGAAGGTTAAAATTAGAGGTACTCTGGAGGAAGGCTTTGTCATAGAAAAATTACACGTGAAATCTAAAACCTCTAGCACTAATTGTTCATAAGTTATGGTAAAGGTTAAACAATTCAAAAATAGGTCAAACTCCAAGGTCAAGGTCAAAACTATTACTATCCAATTTAAAGGAAGTTTATGTCACTAGGAATACATCTGTAAAATATGAAAGACTTAAAACATGTAATATGAGATAATTTATATCACATACCTAAATTTGTAATTTTATTGTGATTTACCCACAATGTTTGAAGATTGGTGGAGGTTGGAATTTTCACATGTGACTCAATATTATTGTGATCCAGAACTAAGCAGGTTAGTCTAGGAAAATCTATCAGAAATGGAGGTCATTAAAAATAAAGTTAAGGAAATTAAAAACACAAATTGAGCATGAATAAAACTTCTTAACTTTCCTTTCAGTCAAACTCAAGTTATCGTATAATGTTTATCATCTTTAAATCTATTTTAGTGGTGTGTAATACTGTGCGAAATAATTCTGAATTCAAACCTACAATGTAGAACTTATGTTACTAAACATTACAAATGTTATTAGGCTAAGCATTGTTTAAACTATAATTTCAAATGTATTATTATCCATTTAAAAACTAAATGAAAACAAAAATAGGTATACCCAAAGGACATGAATGTCCTGCTAGAGATTTACATGTATTAGTAATTCAACATGCTTACATAATAAAATATCAACTGAGCAATGAGTAGTTTCTTTGAAACTGAGCAAAGGGAAAAAATACTAATATATTTATATTAAGGCTACATTTTTTGGGAACCTTTTGAATAGTTCTAAGCAACATGCATCAGTTGGTTTGTAAAGATAACTGCAAAAGTTTCTTCAAAGCTGCGCTAAATGCAAATTTATGAAAAGTGAGGTCAAAGAAAAAGGAAAGATCAACGTACAAAATCTTATTGATATGTATCAGCAAACTGCATTATAGATTTACAATTTCTAAAGTATATTTTTTTGTAAACAGTCTTTAAACCTACATGAACAAAAAAAAAAAACTTCTCAAAGACTTTTTCTTTGAAGAATTTAAATAATCATGTGTATTACATTTTTGCTCGTATACTTTATTATAATCAGTAACATAGAAAAGGAAATTCTGGTGATTAAGAAAGGATATGATATTTTGTTGTGAGTCAGATCTATTTCTTGCAAAGATTCACCCTCGGTTTCTGCCAAATTTGCAGGAATTATGTCCAAATCCTGAAAATATTAAACATTTGAATTAATTATTAATGTCAACAGGTTTCTTCAGCAGCTAAATTTCACCAATCTTTAAACAAAGCTGTGACAAAATAATTGTTATTTTTATTTTATTTATTTATTTATTTTTCTGCAAGCAATTAATGGAATGAGGTATAAAAAGACAGAGCATATTACATCAGGGTTCGACACTAACAGTAGCCCGCTGGCCCAAGACAACTGAATATTGAGGTTGGGCTACTTAACATGACTTTAAACTTGCTCTGAAGGGCCACTATAATTCTTAACTAAACACTCATTTGGGGCAATTTAAATGATAAATTTAAACAATTACACAAATTCCAGTTTTGTTGGAGTCACATACATGTATAATCCAAAGTACAGCCAGCATGCAGTATTTGGCATCTATATTTTCAAAATTTACCCGAGGAGCCCCAGCAGAAGGGGGAACCCCTCCCTCACCTACCCCACTCGTCACTTTGCGACTCAGCCAGCAGTTTTTGGCTGCTGGACAACTAATGCATGAACAGGGCTACAGTGGCTGGAACGTTATTGTTGACAACTTACACGAACGATCATGTTACACGAACGATTCTGCACGAACCTGGTACACGAATATCTTTCACGTTCACGATTCTACACGTTACACGATCTTACACGATTGTTAATGCAAACGCAGGTTTTTTCACTCAGAATAGTTCAAAATATTTAGGAATCAATATTTTCAAAACGAAATATGGCTTAATACTTTTTAAGATTTCAAAGAATTATCAATATTTTTTCATCGACTTTGAAGAAAAAAACTGGAAAATGATATTTCTGTAACTAAATATATGCAAGACTTAATATTTTAGATTAAAAATAATTATTTCTAAGGTAATTCTCCGATCAAAAAAAACCCAGATTTTGTTCGTTCTATTAGACGATGTACATGTATGTGGGTCGTATAATTTGATTGAATTGGATATCATGATATGCAGAAAGGGGATACGATTGAACAAAAACGGCAGCATGAAATGACTTAAATTATAATTACAAATTTTATCCTTATGTTTCCATTGATTCAATGTCTGATAAACTTGCCGATTATTCAACTTTTTTATTTGCAGAAATTTAATCAATTACAAATAAGCTCAAGAGCTAAGCACAGATAATCAAAATTCCCGAAAATCATGCCGTGTCCATGTATATTTGTCAAATAACTAGTTATGTAAGCATTGAGAAATGTTTATTTCTTTGTAAAAAAGAATATTTATTTTCAATGAAAGGATTTCAAGATTATCTTGACCACAATAAGAAGTAAATAATAATTAAAATCAGATTTTTCAAAAAGGCGTTAGAGATCTAAGTACGGTGTATCACATTATTGATCGCACTATTTGACGAGAACTTAATATTGTACGACTTACTATATTGCTTGTTTACGGGCGATAATTAGTTCGTTCTGCATTCTATTATGTAAATTGCGCTTTTTCAATTTATTTGGATTTTAATTAATAAACTATTAGTAAGAAAAACAAACAAGGGAAATGCTTATTGTACAAAATACATTCCGATAAAAACTTACAAAACGAAATTTACACGATTCTTAACGCACGATCTTGCACGATTAAAAACGCACACGATTGAGTCTGATACACGAACGATCTCGCACGTTACACGAACGATCACTCATGATACACGAACGATTCTACACGATTGGTTTGTCAACAATAACGTAGAAGTAGAAATAAGAAATTGCTAGCCCTTCTGGCAATTATGGTTTTAAAGTTAGTGTCGATCCCTGCATTACATCAGTACAAACTGTACTCGATTTATTTACAAACTGAGCGTGTTAATAGACTTTATGAATTGACATACTGAACATGTTTTAAAATATACACTTGACAAGTAAAATTTATACCTGATAAGCCAGGTTTTTTCTCATTTTGGACTCCCTTCTCTTAGCTTTACAAATTAAACACATGACATTATCCAAAGTGTTGCACTGAATTAAAAATAAATAAATTATATACTTTTAAACATTTAATTAATACACGTACTACATAATGACAGTTACATGAGTATGCTGAATGTTAAGTGGATAACCTTGGCAGTTGCTTGACTCGGCTATCAATCTTCAATTAATTTTGATGTTTTTAATTATCTTTTCATACATTCAAGAATAACAATTAATTTTTATACCAATAACAAACATTACCAATATTTTACTCCCTAAATTTGGTCGGCAATCATCAATTAAATGTGACATATGGAAATTGAATATATTTCACATTGTTTACGTTGTGGTGTCCGCCATTTTGAACATCACATGACTTCCCCTTCAAGGACACATAAATACCCTCCAGGAGTATAGGCGCATATATCCTTATTTCTCATTTTTTTAAAAATATATTTGAATACTTCAATTAATTTATATCAAGAATGTCAAAACAGTTATACATACTGATTATATATATTCTGTACATGTATTCTAAGTTTGATGGGGGTGAGGTCTGTTGTGTACTGTTGTAGGGCGCAGGCGCGGATCCAGAATTTTTCCGAGGGAGGGGGGGGGGGGGGTGGTCCCCCCAGTAAAAAAAATCTACCCAAGAAATTTTTGACAAGATAAACAAATAAATAAATGAATAAAATAAATAAACATTAACTCCTATCCAAATATCTCAAATGTGAACAACCTATATCGGAGAGGGGGGAGGTATGTTACTCTATGACTTTTCAGCACAGGCGCATGACTTAACCTTTCTTCTCATACTATATAGAGGATTTTTTTTATTTCTGAAAGGAAAGGTTACTAATGTCAAGCGCATGTGCTTTTTAGAAAAGAATGTATTACTATGACAAAAGATTTGACCTATAGTGGGCTATAGCAGAGAACAATTCCCGGAAAAAGTGATATTTAAAAATCAATCTTTATTTTTTTTTTCTACCGTATATGTCTTAATTTTTCAAATATGTATTTTACACCTCAAATTTGTAATTTACAACTTTACAATAAGCCTCCAAAATTGTCCGAAACGCAATTATGTCCCGGCTTTAAAGGACTCCGACCCTCAGCCAGGAAGGACAACTCTTTAATTTATAATTTAATTCAAAAAGTCTTTAAGGATGTACAACACACCTACCCCAAAAAATTCCTGTCGTTTAATTTTCGTTATTTTTGTATATCTAGTACATGACTATATCTACTGCATGTATGCATTTTTTGGGACAAAATCGTTCGAGTGGTTTTTGGACAGGAACTTCCAAAAGTTACCCCCCTTTAGTTGTTTACAAGGAAAAAAAAATTTTAATCAATGAACTACTTAAACTTATTTCAAAAACGCCAGGTTAGATATAAATGTCAAATTTCATTGATTATTCCTTTAACCATTTAACACAAAAACATAGTCATCTTTTTGATATACATTCATCAAAATAATTTTTAAAGACCTTAAACTGAAAAAGTATGAATTATCTAAGCCTTAAAAATTGCGTATTTTTCAAATTCAAAATTTTCTTGTGAAAAAACCTGTCGTTTAATTTTGGTAAAAAGCTTTCTTTAGGTATCTGGTAGTAAAAATAATCTTCATAATTTTTTGTATAATTTTTTGTACGACCAGTTTTGATTTAATAGCGGAAAATTACCCCCTCCCCCTTTCTCAATAAATCACGTTAATTCCCGCGCGTCTTTCAGATAGGGGTCGATCACTTTGCTATAAATCTACAAATACACACTTTAAAAAAATCAAATTGGAATATTGCTTTTGCTTCAAAAATATATTAACTTACAAATTTATAAGTTCTCATATGTAAAGCGTATTTAAATGGGAGATTTTTAGGCAATTTTTGAATACCCATATCACCCCCACCCCTTCCTTTTTTGCGTCGCAGACCATTAGCGTTTGACGAAACGTCGTTTACAGTGCAAATATACTGGTGTTTCGTCATTTGAATCCGGAGGTATGCATTAGTTTTTAAATTCATGAATGCAGAATAAATATTGATTACTCTTTTTATATGTATCAGGAAAAAATTACTGAAGGATTTTAGTGTTTAGTCCGTATATGTATGCGTTATGCATTCCATATCACATGAAACCTGGATACGAATTTTAAGTTTTTTTTGAACTTGAATATTTTGATTTTTAATCTTATTTCTTTAATTTTATTCATTAAAAAAAATGGTGTATGTTCATATCTCCTGTGATATAAATGGAATAATTGTGGTTTTTTCATGACATTATTTCAAACGAGACAGTATGTGGCTGTGGGGATACATTGACATTTGCATAGATGTACACCCCTCATGATAATTGTATACGCATTTCTTTCAATGTCGTCGCTTCTAAAGTTAAAATGAAAATTCCGTATTCGTCCACATTAACTTCAAAATATCAAACATTAAACTCTTCATCTATTTCAATTTATATCAAATCGCACTTTGATATTTTTTAATCTTATAGGCTACGTTTTGTTTTGATTCGAGGAAATGCGAACCGACATTGTTGACAGAAAGTCAAACGATTTGCTGCAATAGGATATTCATAAATGCAGATAATTTCAGTATAAGTAAACAATTCTTTTCAATTCTATACTTACATTGTGTATATGAGGTCTATAGTATTCAATTCTCGGATTTATCAGGTCTTGCTGTATATGTATCTGATTATGTGGAAAACTGTGAATAAAGGGAGGAAAATAAACATCTCCTACATTTTCAGAGTTGTTCCTCTTATCAGTAAGGGTCTGAGAACAACATGATTTTACATTGTAAAAAGTTTTTTTTTTGGTTTATTTATTGTTGTTTTATTTAATTTAAGAAGAAAAACAATATTAATATCGTAAATGCACAAATTGTAATGAAGACCATTAATCGGAATGTTATATAGACCTATATACGTAATGAGAATTTCGGCAATGTAAAATAAAATTTTCAGAATAAAAAAAATGCTGCGCTTTGATCAAGAATACAATTTATTACATGTTATGAAATGAAATGAAATAAACATTAAGTGATGGTATTTTATGTCTGGCTTTTTACGGAGTTTAATCGGGTTAATTAATAAAATACTTACTGATTAATATGGTACGCACAATCACAGCCAAGCCCCATATCCCAATTTTCTTTCATGATTGATATACATCGGGATCGTTTTATTCGTCGTTTTGACGCTTTTGACGCTTTATTTTGGACGTTAAATTTGACGTTACGTCAAACGTTCAATTGAAATCGCAAGAGTTATCTCCCCCAGTGTGTTGTACGTCTTTAAATGAAGCTTGAACATTAAATCTTTTCATGCAACAATTTTCATTATATGCCTTTCAATGTGCTTCAAGGTTCTTATATAATTTGCAAACATAAATGACATGTTTTATTATATCCACGGAAAAATAGCCTAGATTTCATTTAACTGTACTCCCTTGGATTTCATTTAGGCTTATATAATTTGCACAGATTAATGACATGCTTTATTATATCTACGGGAAAATAGCCTAGACATTCTAGAATAGAATTTCAGAGACAGTAGACATTACCATTATGCACAATGAGAAGTAAAGGCAAACTTAAATAAAAATTATAAAATTGGGAGATAACAAATTCAGAAAATTAATTAAAGGGTTCCTACTAGTAAGACTTGAAATAAAGATTTAGGAAAAACAAATTGTTATATTATTAAGCCTAATGTCAATAATCGGAACAGGAAATCGACAAGCTTTTTGTAGAGAAAAACGAGGGCCGTCCTATGGGTCAGATCCCAATTTATAATGAAGTGATCCTTTACAAAAAACCCGGGGGGGTGGGGTGGGTGGGTGGGTTAGGTCTCTGTCATTTGGTTTGGCAAAATCGTTTAATAACTGCAATCTCCAGGGGTGGTGGTGGTCCCGACCCCCACCCTACTCCACCCTGCATTTAGGGAGACATGTACCTAGAATTAATAAACTATCATGATAAAACAACAGGGAAATATGATAATATTGCATCCCCACCCAGTGTATTACAAGGCCATTCACAATGAGCAAATGCCTTGGGCAAAGTTATTATACCCTCCGCTCGAAAAGCAAAAGGGTAATACATATAGTAATTGTTATGTCCGTCCGTCTGTTGTATAACGCTTTGGGCACCCATCTCTTATCCGCAACTCCTCTCATACCACTGAATGAAATTTTATGAAATTTTCACAGAATCTTTATTACATACATGTACGAGGGTTGATCCAAAAGTTCGTGGAATTTTTTCTTAAATTTTATCGTGTTTGATAAAAACAAACAATAGGCATTTTTATAAAAAAGAGTCACATAATGCAACAATGCTGGAAAATTTCTTCACGTTCCAATCACCAATAAGGTCACATGCACGAGCTTTCTGAAAATTAATAGTTGTGAAACCCGGGGAACCTGACGTAACGTCTAGTAAGGTATGTCACGTTACGTTATAGAAGCATCAAACCCTAATGTCCAATTCAAACGCGTAATTCTACAAAATGCTACCCTTCTCTCTTTTTGTCTCTTGAAAAGCCTGGAAGTCTTCTCGCATTAACTTATCTTCCTTTTTAACTCATATTTCAAAATTCCCATATCTTTCCGTATGATATTCCAATTTCACTAGCAATGTCACGAACAGTACGTCAGCCGACTAAGTCCATTAACGCTTTTAATTCATCAAGGGGGGAAAAAACTTAAAACAGAAACTCAATATGGCGGCAACACCTTTAATCAACGTCCATGGAAGTTCTATTTTCTTAAATTAATTTCGCCACTGGAAAACCAGTAACTAAATGCATTTCCCCCCAGCCTATGTAATTAATATGTGAATTGAAGAGAGAGTGATCCCCGGGTTTTTACAAAACTTATAACTACCGAAATTTGACGTCGTATAAAAACCTAAAGAAGAACAATTAATTTGGCACTTATGAACAAATTATCCAGTAAAATCAGTAAAACTTACACAAAAAGGGTTATAAAAGATC